TTCCCTGGCTCAGTAAAAGTAATTTTTAGGGTATTGCACCATTGGTTCTTGCAGGTGGAGGTCACTAGAGTGTGCCAGAGGCTGGCACTGTATTGGGGGATGGGAGTATTGTATTGGACTTTAATATAGTCCCATGAAGACGAAGGTTTCCAGTATACATCCCCTGTGGTCTCACATCCCCATGAATGACAATAGAAGGAACTGGAACCTCCACATGTATATTGAGCTTGTTTGGATCTGTGATTGCCTGGGCAGACATAAAAGGGCTGGAATTTAAGCCCTGCTTGCCATTCCGGATTACCACATCCTATTCGACCATGAGAATCAGTAGTGAGGCTGAAGTCAGGGTCGGGTCTTTGGGGTGGCTTAGTTTTAAAATGTGCTTCATAGTTTTCAACATCTCAGGGGTAGCCAATACCCAGAGCCAACTGACAAATATCTGGAAATAGGGCAGGCCATGGTTGAGTGTTGGTGAGAGTAGAGATGGCCCATACAGACTTCCCCTGTCCATTAAGGACCAGCCATGTATAGTTCCACGTAGTATGGGTATTAGATAAGACTCCTTCAGTTTGTGGGGGGCAAGAGATGTTAATAGCAAGAAGAAGGAATACAGACCACATTATGATGTTTGTCTTTGAAGGTTTTGGGCAAGATCAATAAAGATTATGGTGAGCATCCAAATGAAAATTGCAGCTGTGGCAAGGATGAAGATTGTTCCAAAGATTTTCCAGCCAAGGTTTTTCATTTACCTGAAAGACATAAAAGAAGGGGAACCTTCTCAAGGAGGTTCATTCTCCTTGGATATCTCGAGAGGCGGCGGGGGCGGTGACTATTTTAGAAGGGGGCATATTGACAGGCTTGATAAGCCATTCTGGCAGCCATCGTGGGCCATCCTGCTGGGTGTCATAAATACAGGCGTTCCCACATCCCCAGATGAGGACTGGGTCAGGCCCGTGCCATTTGGAGGTTAGTGGATCTTTCCACATCACTCGGGCATATTGATTTTTGGTTTGAGCGTGCCATAATCGATCAGCAGCAGAATTGCCATTTAAGTCCAACTGCAGGAAGTTTAATATGAATAAGGCATGACTTAAGATATTTCGGGGACAATTTTTTGAGGAATAGAGGGTGTTGTTTTGGATTTTTTGTAAGGTATTTTTAAGTGTCTGGTGAGCTCGTTCAATCATTCCTTGGCCTTGTGGATTATATGGGATGCCAGTTATGTGTGTGATTTGTAATTGGCGGCAAAAAGTTTGAAAGGCCTGGGAGGTATATCCTGGCCCATTGTCTGTTTTTAGTTTTTTGGGCTTGCCTAGTGTGGAGAAGCATTGTAGCATGTGGGCTATTACATTTTTAGAAGCTTCTCCAGGCTGTGGAGTAGCAAATATAAATCGACTAAAAGTGTCAATGATTACATGAACATATTTGAGTTTGCCAAAGTCGGGGACGTGGGTAACGTCCATTTGCCATATATCATTGGGCAGTAAGCCTCGGGGATTGACTCCTAAATGGGGAACTGGAAGTAAGGTGACACACCCAGGGCATTCCTTAACAATTTGGCGGGCCTGCTCTCTGGTAATTTTAAACATGAGGCGTAGAGTATTAGCATTTAGATGATGGGTAGAGTGGGCCTGTCGGGCCTCATTAATGGGGTCAGCACAAATAGTAAATAATAATCGGGTGTTTTTATCTGTAAGGGCATTTCCTTGGGCTAACGGCCCTGGAAGATCGGTATGAGCTCTAAGATGTCCAATAAAAAAGGGTGCCTTTCTTTGAACTATTAAGCATTGGAGTTTTGAGAAAAGGGGAACAGCATTGGTAGAGGGTTTTATATAGGGAACTGTCTCTAATAAAGGTATGGAAGAGGCTATATAAGCACTATCAGTATACAAATTAAAGGGGGATTGAGGAAATTTACAAAAAACTTGTATAACAGCATATAGTTCTACAAGTTGAGCAGATTTAAAAGGAGATAATTTAGTAAATTCTTGATTATTTACTGTATAGGCAGCCATACCATTAGAGGAGCCATCTGTAAAAACTAATAAAGCATCTCTAAGAGGTTTAGTGGATGTAACTATGGGAAACACAAAGGGGTGCAAT